ATCGATTTTAGTGTATGTATAATTATGTTTTTTATCCTTTTTCAGAGTATTTAAATAAATAATTGTTCTCCTACATTGAGCATTTTTTAGATGTTATATTGTTCTTTAGTTTTTTAAGTAAAAAATTAATATACAAGGTGAGGCATTTAAAACTGTTTTTCAGAATATTTGGAAAAATACAAATCGGATTTAAAAAAAGTTGCAATAAAAGTTGTTCACCTCGAGGAGGGTCATCCATTAATATAAAGCACGACCCCCCTGCACCACCCCCGGGGGCGGGAGGGGGGGTGACTTTGAAATCTTAAATAGAAACCCCTATTTTTTATTGCAGATTTAGATTCTCCGTGAAACAATATGTAACTTTTGTATGAAATATTTTTTTCGTTTCATGATAGATGGCACTGTAATCGGCAAAAATGAAAATGAGTTGAAAATTGTTGAAAAATGGTAATATCTCAAAAAAATACACATCAGATTAGGAAAATCAAAGTAAATTTTTTGATATTTTTGAAAATGCTATCATGTAACACCGTCTACCATCCTGCAATGCATTCTTAGACTACTTTTAGCTTTACCGAGGAACAACGACGTGGACTGTTGGGTCCCGTAGGAGAGGGTGTGGTAAAGAGAACAACGCCCGAATCCTGGTACGCTTTCTTTATTGTGTGCTCACTACTGAGACGGGGGGAAATATCCCTCAGATCGCACAGAGCTCGCGTACGACGTGCTGCCCGAGATGATGGGTGCACGCACACTACTGCCTGCCTCGCGCGCGTCGCGCCCCCTGCCGGGGTCGGCGTGTCCCGCCCCCAACATCTCCCCTCTTATAAGACTAAACCTGGGTGTATGATTTGGCTTTGGGATCCAAGACAAGTCTTCGTGGCTGGACTCTCCGACGGATGGGCCTGACTGGCGTTATGTCCGGAGCTGTTTCCAATTCGGGTTCGTGGTCTTCTTGTGGGGGGGCCCGTACCTGGAAAAGGTCTCTCGGCATAGTTCGACCGTGCGGATAGCCGATATGGTGGGCGTGATTGCTACGTCGATGAACTTTGAGTATGCGTCAACGAAAACAAGTATGTATTGGCCGTCGATTGGTCCCGCGTAGTCCACATGTAGGCGTTCGAGAGGTTTAGAAGGGATTGGCCACGGGCTGATAGGGACCTTGATTGGTAATTTCCTTGTCAGTGAACAAGGGTCGCATCGTTTCACGAGGCGTTCGATATCTTCGGAGAGTTTTGGCCAGTATACGTACTCGCGTGCTAGCTGCTTCATTCGTCTGATCCCTGGGTGACCCTTATGGAGGGATGAAAGGATGCTGGACTGCATACTTTGAGGTATGACTACCCTGTCTCCTAGCAATAAAGTGTTGTCAACGATTGACAGACAGTCCCAACGCTTCTTGTAATGTTCTACCGTCGGTGAGTTTGATGCCGGAACTTTATTTTCCCGGATGGCTTCTATGATTGTCGCGAGGTCTGGGTCCGCGCCCGTAGCCGTCTTTAACTTAAAGCGGAGGTCTTCGCCAAATCTGTCGATGGATAGATTTCTGATTTGTAGAACTTCGTCTTCTATGAGGCGGATGCTGGCGACTTGGAGTTCTTCGAGGTTGTCTTGACGGAATTTCTCTATTAGGCGAGACAGGGCATCTGCCT